ATATGAGAATCGTGTAGAACTCGCCACTAGATTTCTTCTACAGAAAAGTTAAAAAATGTTGTCTACCTGGGGCCTGGACCCACTAGCAAGGTATTCTACCAGGCGGTTCAGGATTTCGATCACGTGTGGCATCGAGTGACTCAGTACGGCCGTCGAATAGATCGGATCTCGACGGCCTGGTAGTTTCCGAGCGGGGACTGTAAAGATGCCCACCTCCCGTCCAATGAGATGCATCGAAAAAAAAAAACAACGAAGTTGGACTAAACTTGGACATGATAGCTCGTGGCTTTGCGTGGGCAGGAAGTCGTGATTTTATGGGTTCTAAAGGGGGGGGGTTGATTTCTAGACTTCGTTTTTTTTTTTTTTGGCTCTGAGAAATAAAACTTGAAATGTGAAAGCCGAATATTGTGGTGCATCTGACAGGAACGCTTCCGCGTCTGTCGGATGACCTTTTAGAGGCATCATGAGATACATCGGGATGAACGTATCCCTATAGCCATTACTTGTTCATCGTCGTGGCTGTGTTTGTGGACACATTTTATTGCCACGGTACATCACTATGAAGACTTACGTGAAGGAGATCGTACCAACCCATGAATTCGGGTGCACAACTCTTCTTCATAGGTTTATGTGCTATTTCAATTCATTTTAAATCAGAAAACGATCCATTCATGAAAATAAAAAATCACTTTGTATTTTCCAAAAAAACATAAAACTGTGTCACACATCGTAGAATACTTCGCTACTGGGTCCAGGCCCCTGGGGCTCGGACCCACTAGCCAAGTTTTTTTTTTTTTTTTTTTTTGGAAATAGCCAAGTTTTACAACTTGGGCGGCGCAGTTTTCGTGCATTTTCGGTATTTTTATATTGGTTTGTTGAAACAAAAACCAAAAGAAAATGGTATCGGAAAGGATGACGCATTCTGCATTCTGACAGGGGCCTCCCCTCATCACGGGATCGCACACTGCCTGATGTGGAAACACTTTTGTCTCATGAGTCCGCAAGATTTATGAATGGGGCCTGATTTTGGGGACAGAGAGCATGAATGTTGCCAGGTTGGTAGATCACATTCACGTTCGCAACGACCTTTATAGTATGTTGCTTCACCATTCTCTGACACAGATGAGTGGAAACAAGCGCTTTTCATTTTCGGCCGAGGTGCTTCCCGTCCCATGGGTCGTCCCATTCCAAAGCTCGGTAGGGGCCTCGCCACACCACTCTTGAAACGGGGAATTTTTTCAAGAGCTGTCAGATGTTCTCAAGAGTTGGGTTTTCAAGAGTTCTGGGCCCCTCGCCACACAGCACTCTCGAAAGGGCGATGGTGTTGGACAAACGATGAAAAACGACAGTCGTACAAATTTGTTTTTTCCGAATGGCGTCAGGATAACGGCCTGACACCTCTCGAAAATCAAGGGCCCTTCGAGTGCCCTCGGGAGGACGCTTGAAAAGAGCAGTGCTGCAGGCTGGGCGTTTCCGAGTTTCGAGTGCGACTCTTGAAACGAGGTTCTGACAACTCTCGAAAGAGTTTTCAGGCTACAACTCTCAAGTGACTGTGTGGCGACGCGTCCATGTGACGCGCAACCTCACGCCCTGTGCTGTCTTTCATTCGGAGTGTTAGGCGTGCGGAAAGAGGCCCAGAAAAACAGCAAAATGGGGTGTGCTAAGGATGTTTGGAAATTGAGTGTGGGGACACAGATGGAACTGAAATCCCCCGTGTTGGTCCAATGAACCAAGTCGATTGCTTTCACGCATTGCGGAATGTGCGCGCGGGCACGGCGCGAAAAGAGAAAAATCCAAATTCAATCCAAAAAGTATTGTCGGGCTTCCCACCGTGCTACAGCCCGTCGTTTAGAACGAAAAGGCTTTGGCACGCTCTGCGTGTCTCGTTTTCGTATCAAGTCTCGTCGTCGTTCGATGGTCAGTTCCGAGTCCGGCGTGGATGGTCTCCAGTATCGCCCGCCGATCTGTGCGACAACTTCTCGCACGTCCCACTCGCATACACATGTCCTTTCCTCGTTGTACGGAAAAGGCCGTGTTGGGGTGGGGGGTATGGGAGGCTGGTGCCCAATCGGAGGGTACTGGTTGGTCCACATATCAATCAATTAGAAGGACCTTGCGACGTCATCAAGAAAAGAAAACACTCGCACAACCAACAAACAATTTCCTTCAACCCGAGAGGGAGAGAGAGAGAGAAAGAAGACACGCCAACAGCTTGATCATGCATATAACTAAGGGACCGATCCGCGACTCAGGTTTAATGAGCCAGCGCGACGTTGATCCCAGGCGCGTTGTTTCTCGAGGCCGCCTCGTGGTTCGGCTGCTGATGTCGGACAGCATAAGGCAGATGGCATGTGCAGTGCACTCAAAGCTACAGATCTAAACACTCTTGCATTCTCGGACAAAATCCCGTCGACAATCGTCTAATCAATGCCAAAGAGACGCGCATTCCCATACATCCATTCACTGTGGAAGATGCGAAAAATGAGCCATGCACAGGAAAAGATGGATTGCTTTGCACAATACACACGCATCCACCGTTCACAAGACAAGAAGACGGGGTCCTTGCGCGGGAGGATTACCCAGGCAACTAACGAAAGAGTTCCGGAAGAAGTTCTTTCACGCACGATAAACATACATATTCATACTCATCCAGAGGAGGGAAAGGGAGAGAAGGAGAGAAGCATCGAGACACATCATTATTCAAAAATAGAGGAGA